TAGGAGGAGTAGTGGTAGTAGCACTAGCAGTAGCAGTAGTAGTCGTAGTCGTAATCGTAGTCGTAGTCGTAGTCGTAGTCATGGTTGTAGTCGTAGTCGTGGTCGTGGTCGTGGTCGAAGCGGTAGTAGTCGTAGTATTACTAGGAGTTCCTTCTCGTTCGCGGCTGCTGCCTGGTGGGGCTTCCGCCGCAGTTCGGCGCACTCGGGTCTACCCCTCCCCTCCGCGGAAGGAAGATTGAGCTTATGATCTTCCAACCTACTTCAGGCTCGATCATCACAAAGAATTTCGAGCACCAAGAAAGTACCGAACCTATAGGGTTTTCACGCGTTGGGCCCTGGGAGACACTCGTCCGACACTGTTTCGACACTCTTTCGACACTTTTCCGGGTGCTTGAAATTATTTCTGGGATGTGGCCTTGACGTACGATGGGAGCAACAAAGGTTGAGCAAGAGAGATGAGCCCTCGTCGCCACCGCTGGGTTCGCCTCGAAATTCTTGACAGAGCGCAACCCGGGAGGGGTCTGGAGAGTAGCGGTATCGGTACCCTTTGGTATCCCCAAGAGAGATGAGTTGCCTCCTTTCTTCAGGCAGGGAGGAGGGAGGAAGGCGGATGACGGATGGAGGGAGCAGGCAGGAGCGTGGTGGCAGTTGCTGGCGGGAGCAGGCGGGAGGAGGGAGGGAGAGAAACTAAGGATGATGTGAAAGGATAGGAAGACCCGGAAATGAGAAACGCATGGGGAGATCTTGTGTGGTTTGGGTTTTAGGGCATGCGAGGTACGTGAGCATGAAAACGCTAGAGTGTTGTCACCTTCGATGTCCAGGCGGCCTCAGTCGGTGTTTGTTTCACACGTGGCGCGATTATTCGATTCAATCTCGTGTGTGCAGTATTTGCGTGATCGTTGCAATAACTCGCGGCTCTCGTGCCAATCGGGATATATGTACTGATGGCTGTGTGCACTGAGGGCATCTTGGTATCTCGTTGCGTCTGGGAGTGCGCTGGTGCGGCGGCATCTTGACGGTGATGCTACTATAACTGGGAAATTGCATATCGATGTCCAGTCCCTCAGCCTGGAGCATACGTATGCACCCTAGCCTTGGGTCGGGCATGCCCCCCTACAGGCGGATTTTGGACGAAAGAAGAAAGCTACTCAAAAAATACACCTAAATAGCCAAAACAAATTCAAAAATCGTTCCCATATAATAATCAGACTATTGTTGAATACTCCTTCTGTAGACGGACAGGCCCGACTTAACCCTAGCATCTAGCGTTTGCGTACAGGTTGCGATCACCCATTTGAGTTGGACGTTGAGGGCGTACTGACCCAGACAGAGCCAGACAAACAGATCCTTGACCCTGAGCCCCTCGCTGAGCTCCTTCCTTCAGCCACCGGCAATGTCATGCAGCGATCCGGCTGGGACGGCCTTCTTCTGTTGCAAGGAGGGTTCCGGTTCAGTTGCCTCCCGTTGGCTCGGGCGTCGGAGATTCGGAGTCCGAGGTTGCCGGACCGCCAGTCCCAAGAAGTTTCCAGCAGCGCCGTTCATTGAGCGGGGCATGCAGTTGTCTTACTTCGCATGCTTCACAGGCATGCGGTCCACACGTACGCAACCCCCCTGTGACCATTGCTGCTTTCTTTCGAAGGCGCGGGAAGTGGATGCCGCGCCAGCGCCGCAACCGCGCACGTGTCACAACAAGATTCGTATCCACGTTCCCTGCACCACCTTTTCGGCGGTAGCATCGCGACGGCTGCTGCGCTTCCGAGCTGGAGGAAGCCCTGCATCAACAGACGCCGCACACATGCGATTTGGGGGATGTGCTCTTTTGCGGCGGGTCATGACAGCCGACCAGAGCTGCCACAAGCGTGAGCACTGCTTGGGCCATGCTACTGTGGCTGCCCACGGGCCTCTCCCTGTGTGGCCGCTGCCGTGGAGGCCCATGCCAAGCAACATCCTGCTTGCCTCCGGCGTGCCCTGGGTTACTTGGGTTTCCATGGTGTTGTTGAAAAGAGCGCGACGCTCCCACACCAAGAGTCGATGGACGTCCTGGGGTCTCAGGGCTGGATTTCTGATGGAAGGTTTCTTGTGGATCGGCCCCCGCTGCATCAGGGGGTGACCATTAATGGAGGATGACGATTAATAAATGATCGGGGGTCGTGTTCACGCGGCGGCGCCCGGGATGACGATGAGAAAAAACCGGCCGCGGGCTGGAACACTATTTTTTAATCGTTCTCCTCCAGTCAGGAAATTTTGCAGAAATAGAAGAAAACTATTTTTTAATCGTTCTCTCCTATTTTTTATTAATTGTCATCCCGCATTACTGGGGCGTGAGCAATATTTCGGCGTTGCCCGGAGGCTCGGGATCTCTCTGTGGCACCCGCCTGGGCCACGAGAGTCTGCGCTCGGGCGTGGCCCCATCGCGCACGGCACTGCCTTTTTAAACGGGGCTCGCCTTCCACACGCTCGTGGGCTCACGTCTGGGCACCGCCCTCCCCGTCCGCTCTCTCGTCTTGGCCCTCAGTGGGCCCTGGAAACGGTAGGACCGTTTTTTCGCCGTTTCCGAAATAGTGCCCCTTGAAAATGGAAGCGGCAAGAAAACGGCGACCCGAAACGGCAACAAAAACGGCTCCAGGATTGGAATTGGAGCGGGAACCCGTAAAAGAACGGCGACGGAACCGGTAACAAAAACGGCGCTGGAAGCGGCAAAAAATTGCAAAACGGACAAAACGGAACCGGTAACAAAAACGGCCCTGTCGTTTCCAGGGCCCACTAAGGTCTCGGAGGGGATGGGGATGGGGATGGGAATTCTAGGGCTCCCAACTTCGCGCTTCGCGCTCCGCGAAGCGCGAAGAACTTCGCGCTCTCGCGCCACCCCCCCAAGAGGGAAAAAAGAAGGACGAGGAGGAGGGGGAGAAGGAGCGAGGACCGCGAAGCGCGAATCACTTCGCGCCATCGTGGGAGCCCGTGGGGATGGGCGGAATGGTAATTTGGGTGGTAATTTGGTGGGGGTCTCGAAGGAGGAGGGGGAGGAGGAGGAGGAGAAAGAGGAGGAGGAGGAGGAGGAGGAGGAGGAGCAGGTGGGATGGGGATGGGGATGGGGATGGTTATGTGAACCCCACCCTCGCCCTCAGAAATCGTGGGGGGTAGGGGTAGGGTTCGAATGTGGCCCCCGAGGAACCGCGTGTCCGCGCCCTAGGAGCAGGCGCGGAGTCCCTTGGGGCTCTCTCGGGGCCATCCTCTGGGGCTCTCTTGGGGCCCTCAAGTCGCCCCCCCGCCCATGCCGCTCTAAGCACTGCCCGGTGCGCCGTTCGGGCCCCCTTCGGGCCCCGTCTTGTGGTTTTGTCGCGTGTCTTATTTTGTTCAGGAGCAACACGTGCATTTTTTATATAGGGGGCCACATGCGAACCTTAACCCTACCCCCACGATTTCTGAGGGGGAGGGTGGGGTGCACTTCGTCTGGGAGCTCCCGAGCGAAGTGAACCCCACCCAATCATCAGTTGGTGTCCTCTTGCGTTGGGCATGGGTTGGGGTGTTTGGGGGACCCTCCATGGCCAAGTGGAAGCGTTTTGGGGGGTTATAGCTGATGCAGCCTCGATAATATCGGAGCATGTTGCGGCATCGTGGGTGCAATCTTGAGCCATCTGAAGCCGCACTGGGGCCATCCTGGCGCAAACACCATCCCCAACTCACGATTCGGATGAGCGGGGGGGGGGCGAGGGAAGGGTGGGGGAATATCCCAAATGGGTTGGTGGACACGTAGGAGAGAAGCGCACCAGCAGGAGGACAAGGAGTTGCATGAGGAGGAGGAGAAGGAGGAGGAGGAGGAGGAGGAGAAGGCGGAGGAGGAGGACGAGGAGGAGGAGGACTGTTCCTTCTGGTCCCCTTCTTCCTCCTCCACATTCTGCTCATCCTTCTGCTTTTCCTCGTCGTCATCTCCCCTGCCCCCCGTACTCCCAAGAGGAAGAGAAGAGGTGACACAGCAGCACGCGTCCCTCCCTTCGCTTCGACCGTAGGTAAAAGGAAATCGTTCTGTGGACGGGTGGGAAGGGAGGAGGGGGTGGTCGAACCGGCCCCCCCCCCTGAATTGCAAGGGAAAGGGGGGGTCGAAACAGGGGGAGGGTGGGGATCGAACCACAGACTTGCGAGGGGGGTTCGAATTGGCCTCCCCCGTCTCCCTCGTCCCGGTGGCAGCCGACCGACCGCGGCGATCGCCGGCGCCGTCGGGCAGCGATGACGACGACCACGATGCCGAAGAGGACGATCACGACGGTCGAACCCTAGTAGGATGCGCTTAAAGTTGGACAGAGCCTGGGCAATATTCCATTGGAGCTGGATCGAGCCCTGGTAGGGCTCAATTCAAGCTGAATCCACCTATCAACTTATTCCATTGGAGCTGGATCGAGTCCTCATAGGACTCGTGTAGAGCTCGATCCAATTATAGTCGCATTCTATTAGGCTTGGAGCGTTGTAGAAGCGAGGTGCTACATGGCACGCGGGCACTGCACGCGCACGGCACGGGCACGAGCGCAGCACGGCACGGCTTGCGGACGGCAGATCTCTCCCATCCCAGAGCGCGGGCGCGCCCAATCGCAGTAGGATTGCATCAGAGCTGGACCAAGCCCGATCAGGAGGCATTTCACATTGGACCCAGCTATAGTCATATTAGTAGGGTTGGATTGAAGTTGGAGCGAGACCTAGCAGGAGTCAGTGTAATCTCGGTCCAGCTTTGTCCGGATTCAGTGAGAGTTGGAGAAGGCCCCAGATCAGGATCCCAATGAAGCGTGATCGAGCATAAATGGAGCTCTATGCAAAGATCGCGGAGCGGGGCCAGTTCGAACCCCCTTCTCCCGCCCCCCCTTGGACGGGGGGGCCGTTCCAGTTTTCCGGGCGTTTCAGATGTTCAGGGGAGTGAGGCCCGGTTCCGACGTGGCCCAGGATTATTCCCCGGACGACGTCCACCAAACGCGTTTTCTCGCAGGCGATCGTTTTCTCATTCGTTGTTTTGCCGATCGGCGCTGGCCCTCGCACCCTTCCCCCCCTCCCCCCCATGGAGTTGATCTTGGCTGCTCTTGGCGCCTGTTTCGAGCAGGTGGTGTCTCCCCCCATCGGATGCACTGCTGCAAACAGTCACACTAAGCAGAGGTCCGGAGCCAGACCCCCCCTTCCCCCCCTTCCGCCCCATGTCGTAACGCCGACGAAGAAAACGCTCACCAGTCACATTTTCCGTAAGCGGGCCTCACCTGTCGCAGGCCTGTGGCGCGTGTCTCTGACGCGCGGCTCGCTCCCAGGCATGGGGCGTGAACCCCTCCAGCAACCCTTGGATCGTCTACCGCTGCCACGACGAGGTCCCGCCCCCTCCCCGGTGGTCAGTCATCTGCAGCGCGGGTCGGAGCCAGGAGTTCGGCACAGCGGGAGAGGTCAGGAGGAGGGGGAGGAGGAGGAGGAGGAGGAGGAGGAGGAGGAGGACGACGAAAAGGAAGAGGAGGCGAACGAGAGGGAGGAGGAGGAGGAGGAGGAGGAGGAGGAGGACGAGACTTGGCCTCCTTTGTCTCCCCTCCCTCACTGTCCTCGTCGGTCCGTCGTTTTCCCATTCGCTTTTCTTGCAAGTACCGCCGGCGACCCCTGGCGCGGTGCAACCCAGGCCCCGGGGGAGGGGAATCTGCACCCACTGGGATCTCAAGGAGGAGGAAAAAGGGCAACGCTGCCCCCACTGAACGAGGCGTGGGGGGGAGAAGGAGGAGGGGAAGGAGACGGAGATGGTTGTGATTTGGGGGAGGAGGGAGCAGAACATGAGGGGCGAAGGGGTCGTGGGAGGAGGAAAGGAGAAGGTGAAAGTACAGGGGGGCGGGTGGGCTTTGGGGTGGGGGTGGGGGAATTGCTTGAACGAGAAACCGACACTGTCGAGCTGTCAAAAAGGAGCTTCGAAATTAATCACAGTTGAAGCAGAATTTCAAGCCGAAGTAAACATGAAAGGAATGGGGCCCTTCTGGCAGGCTCGATCAACAGCACCTTGTGGAGTCGTGCTGCGGCCTCCCGTGCCGGCGGTGCTGCGGCCTCCATTGCTAGAGGTCCTGCAGACTCCGTTGTTGCGGTGATGGAGCGCCCGTTGAGGAAAGGGACAAGATGCACGAGGAGATGCAGGAGGAGAAGGAGGAGATGCAGGAGGAGGAATGGAGGAGGATGAGGAGAAGGATGAGGAGGCGGACGAGGAGGAGAACGAGGAGGAGGAGGAGGAACTCCCGTAGCCATGTTAGCTCATGTTGAAGCCTCGGAGCCCTGGAGGCTTCAGCTCGAACGCAGACGAGTGGTTCAGGAATTCCCCAACACCGTGAGTCTCTACCTCTCTCTCTCTCTCTCTTTCTTTCTCGCGTCAAAGTTTTCGGGTGCGGGCTACCAGCGCAGCTCTGGGAAGCGATGTCGCACGGCATCCCCGTCTCTCCGTCCGAGGTTGCTGCATCAGCCGCCGTCATAGAAGATGTTCGACGTTCTTGCCATTTTCTCCGATGTCAGTTTTCCGCCCGTTTGATTCCAAGCGTTATTCTGTCAACACGGGCGGGAACGACGACGACTTCACTCTCCCTGCGGTTACGCAGCCTCCAAAGTCATCAAGTCCAACATCGACGCCACCTTGCCGTCTCTCACGCAGTCCCTCGAGCCTGTCGGGCCCGAGATGGCCTCCCGTGTCCAGCGCTCCGTCGGCTCGCTGGCCAGTGCCTGCCAGTTCTCTGGAGGGGAAAAAACACACAGACACAATTAATCCTCGATTCTCCAAAAAATATGGGAAAATATGGCAAGTGGGGGGGAAGACAAAAACCCAGAAAATATGAGAAAATATGGGGGATATTTTTATTTGTGTGTATTTATTTGTGTGTTCCAATTCCCCTTCAAGTTCTCCTGCACGGCCCTGGGCACTCGGGTGGGGCGCCGCATCGTCAGCGTCGGTTTCCAGTCTGCCGCCCCTTCGGGGAAGTTCGAAGAGGTTGACGGCAAGATTGCCGAACTTCTGCGTCTCGTTTTTGTTTGTCGCTCTGACAATCTTCATCCGCCCATCCTCGCCGACAGGCCCCAGTCGGGTCGTGCTCCCGACCCCGCCATCCTGGTCGCTCGCAAACGCGCCCCCCCCATGGAGGGTTTCCTGGACGCCGTCGGGCCCATCCTGGAGAAGAAGAACACGTCGTTCCGGGAAGCCTTATTTGAAAGTTTTCCAGCCTTTCTGCTCATCCATGTTCGTGCACGAGGCCCTCCCACTCTGCACAGCTCCAGGCATCCCAAATCTTCGGTTCCCTTCGTCAATCCGACGGTTCATAACCGATGGCTCGTGGGCTCGTCATTCCGTCCGTGTCGCCACGGGGATCACCGCCGACGTGTTCCTGGACTCTGGCAGGCCCCCGTGCCAGACAAAGAGAGCAACTGGCCAAGGCGATCAGAGAAGCTTGTGCCGACCTGTACCGGTCCAAGCGCTTCTGCGGGGACAAGCTCAAGGGTGCCATCACCGTCGGTTGGAAGCCGATCCTGCGCCACCCAACCCTGGCGACGCCCCGCCGGTCGTCGAGCGGGCCGCCGCAAATCCCATTGCCGAGGGCATCGGCAGCCAGTTTATCGCGAGTGCCATCGGCAACCTTGTGGGAACGACACCTTCCAACGCAGTGGTCCTGACGCGTTGTTCGAAGCATGGTGTGGCCAGCATCCATCCGCTCATCGATCTAGGGAGGCTCGGTGCCTGGGGGCCTCATGGACCCATCGGGGAAATCAAAGGGATGATCGACCGCCCCAATCATCTTGTCCAATATCGTGTCTCCCTCCTTCCTCTCGCTCCTCGCGCCGCTGGCAGCGCCATCATCTTTCCTCCCGAAGTTTCAGGTGACGGCTGGGCGGCCTGCGCCTGAGATCGAAGCAAGAGAGCTGGTGCAGGACAGGGTGCCGCATGTCCGTATCAATTTTGCCGATGCCTCTTCCATCCCCCATTGCCACGTTCGCAAGTCCTCTCCCCCCCCGCGCGCGCGCCGTCAAGCGCTACCTCAGCGGTAACGCTTGCTTCCGCGACCCCGATCCGGGCCTCGAAGGGCCCCGCCGAGTTCCTCGTGGTCGGAGGAGATGAAGCACATGCGAAGTCGTGGCTGGCGCCGCCTTCGGGGCTGCTCCTGGCCCACTCGCTCCTGCGCGGCGCCCCACCGGCCCCGCTGGGCAAGTCTGCGTGGTGTCCCCCCGCCTTGTTCGGCACACCGCCCGCGCGGATCGTGTCCACTGGGAACTTGGCGCACCTCCGCGCACCTGCTTCTCCCCCCCCCGCCCCCCCCCGCCCGCGCTGACCCCGCGGCGTGGGCCACGTCCCGTGGCACGCGCGGCTGCACCAGACTGGGCATATCGCTATGAACATTGCTCCTTTGGTTTGCTTGACGGTGCAGGGGCGCCAAGCAGCGTCGACCGTCCATATCTTTTGGCACCCAGCTAAGCCGTGGCTCATTCCTCTGCAGGCGTTCGGATTCATCGGCTTCCACAGATACTCCACAAAACCAATGGCTCTGACGGCGCGTTGGTCGCGTGCACCCTAGCGCCAGGAGGCCCAAGGAGCCAGAGTGGCAACCCATTCCGCAAGACATTTTCTGCCGCCCCAGGTTCGTCGAGAATGTCTCAAAAAAGTTCAATCCAGTGCGCGCGTCCGAACTCTCTCCCCCGCTCAAGCTCTTCCTTCGCAAAGACATGATCGAAACCGCTCGCGCTACCAGAGACCACCACTTGCGGGAAGCCGTCGGGCCCCCCCACCATTCCCATCGTCGCCCGCTCCATCTCCAGGGCCGTCTGGCAGCAGAAGGCCCGTTTTGCCCAGGGGGCCCAGCGCTCGCGCTCTCTTGGCAGCCAGCACGTGGAGATCGACATTTCAAGTGGCATTGTTTGTTTGTCTCAACCCCTGGTGGCTTCCGCGTCGCCGCGGACGAAGCCCGCCAGAGGGCATTCGAGGCCGGCGCGAAGACGGCCTCCGCCGAACTGCAGGGGGGACGCTCGCGAGATTTCTAGGCCCAAGCACCGCCGACGTGTCAGTGGTTCCGAGAAGCGTCGGCGTCTGCGGGCCCCGTTCGACAGGAATTCACGCATGCGCGTTTTTCAGTCCTGCCCAGACCCTGGGATCCCCCCCTGGCCATCGCTGACCCATCGGACACGCTCGATCAGTCGGCGAAGTGCTGCCTGCCGGTCTTCTGGGAGCAGGTGAAAGACCAGGCGGCGCCGAAACAATGCTTGCGCAGGTTTGGTTTCGACGAGCCACGATCCACGACGCCGCGCAGTTTTTGCAGCCGTTGAACTTCAGCGCCGCTGGGCCCGACATTCAGCCGCGCGACGCTTGGAAAGCGCTTCTCCTCGGCGGTGGGGCCCCGGGGGAATCGGCGCCCTGGGTGCCGGAGGGCAAGTCGCCTCTACGCGCCAAGGGCGCGTGCGTAACCATGGGGGATGAAGCCGGCGACGAGAGTGGCGCCTTCCGACGCCCTGGCCAAACCCGCCAATTCGGGTTTGAACGCGCGGACACAAAGATCCCCAACAATTGTTGTTCTCGGGCTCTCACCGAACGGCTGCCCGACATAACCCCTCGGAGCCAGCTCGGCTTCGCCCCCGCCGTGAACTTCCGGGGTGCATATTTTGGCATTCGACGCGATGAGGCGCATCGCGTCTTTGGAGGTCGACGCGGAAAGCTGTCTCCCAGCGTTGGCCCTCTTGGATTTCGGGCAGGCGCTCCCGGGCGCCGGCCCTTCCTGGATCTCCTCGGGCCACGAGGCCCTTCCGATGCCCGAGATTCGCATGGCAATTTCAAGATGATTCGCGAAGGCGTCGCGCGCGTCGGCGGGGTTGGGTCTTGCGCCGCCTGATACTCTTGGGAAATATCAGAGTTCCCCCACCCAGTCTCAGGGCAGCCCTGCTCTCTCGGCCCCCACTCATTCAGGCGCCGCTCCGAAGCGTCGGTCGGCCCCCCCGGCCTTGGTCTAGTCCAGGCGTGCTCCGGCGACGAAGAAATGCGTTGCGTGCCGGCGCTCCGCTCTGAGCCGCCTCCAAGCTGCGTCGTGGGGCCCGCGCAAGAGTCGCCAAATTCCGACACGAGGTCAACGCGTGCGTCGCCCCGTCGGTCCGCTAGTTTTTTGCCCGAGGCATCCAGAGCGCGCCCTGACTGGATCGCCTATCACGTCGTTGGTTGGTCCGGCTTCCAGGGCGTCAGGCAGCTGAAATATCTCGGCCCCGTGCTCGGCCCTGGCGCGGGGGCGCCCGTGGAGCGGCCCTGTTTCCAAGTGGCCATGCAGGCCCCCTGCCGCGGCCGCCGCCGGCGCCCCCGCCGCCCTGGCCCCTCTCGCGCGCGAGGGGC